GGACTCCTCAGCAGTACCACAATAGGACGAAACGGCCGTCCAATGCTTCCAGGTTTTCCATAGTGGTTTAGCTTCAATGAACTCAGGATTTCAACTTTGGAAAATACTAAAATCTCCACAAAACCTCTTCTGATCAAATGGTATTGTCATACATTATATTGTGAAGCTTATTAGTTATTTGTTATATGAAATTTTGCAAGCTAGATGGTTTAATTATGTGGCAGTCATTGTCATTCTAGAGAACATCATGAAAACTAAAGCCATTATGTGAAAGTGCGCTTCCTAGTTTTTTTTGTATGATTGTTTCATCAGTTTATTTCTATCGGCCTTGTTTGTTCGTGGTTGTTTTCATAGATTTCGTTTTTTTCACATGTCATTGTATTTAAAGTTGATGGTTTTGTTTCATTGACCTCTGACAGAGTAGTTAATTGACCACTATCAAATAGGTAGTTAGATTAGCTCTATCTCGATACATCTATTAACTACCTACTATTCGGAATTGTATGCTCCTAAAAATTCCTGGACAATCTTATAATGTTCCCAATTGCAGAATGGCGAAATTTCCCCAATCAAATTTGTGTATATAGACTGATATCAGTGATAACATTTTGCGTCGCTTCATTGATGGTTTATATTCCTGTATGCATAATTGAAGGAAATGTTCGTTTTCTTGGATGTGATGTGTCTCGCAGTTAGTATAATTTATTTTGTAGATAAGATTGCATTATCTACCTTTTTCGTTGTCTTCCTGTGCAAATAAGATGGAATGAAGTGGCTGAGTTAGTTTATAAGAAACTGTAACTTTAAAGAGTTTCAATATTTTGATGATTTATTTATCTTTTTCACATATGGTAAGCGTATCAACTCCCTGGTTCCCGACGTTGATTTAACGATGATAAATCGATTCTTCATTAGACAGCTGAAATAAGAAAATACAGTTAACAAAACTAGTTAAGCATTAAACACATATGTTTCTTTCATGCTGGAAAAACATTTTTTAAAATGTGAAAGTATAATGATCATATCATGTTACAACGTACAGTGGTTTGTAATTTCATCATTTATCTTTAGTTTACTTTGTGTGAACAGTCTCAGTAAACAGCGTCACATTTTTTTGTACTTTAAAAGTAAGCTTTCTGAGCGACAATGCAATTTTTATTTCATGACTGTTGATAAAGAAACAGTCAGTTGTAATTGTTCAGCTCTCAAGCTGTTAGAACTTTGGTTATGATGAGATGGGTTGGTACTAATAAAATTACATCCCAGTAGTTCTATCCTAGTATTGAGGTGCTGGAAAAATAAATTCTCTTAATCTTGGCCTATTTGCATATATAACAAATATGAAGTTTAGACTATTTGTAAAGGCATGAACGTTTCCTGTTAAAACTTGCTTTCATTATATTGTCTTAGTATTGTTTGTTTGAATCTTCCCATCGATGTTTAGGAATGCAACTAGTCAGTCTCTAATTGGCATATGTGCATACTGTGCGTATTACCTATATATAGCCTTAATTCACAAGTATTGTAAGCATAGATGGATAGTGTCTAGCAGTGGAATTCAGGACGCCCGTTTCATCCTATTTGGTACTCGTCAGAGTGAATCTCAACTCTGAGATGCAGGTACATCCAGCTGACGAGTCTCAAACAGGACGAAACGCGCGTCCTGGATTCCACTTCTAGCCACGATTCATTTTTGCTTACTTTCGTTATGTTATAAAGAAATATATATATCACATGCAAAATGTATATCTGTCGGTTGTAAGTGTAGAATGAATAATAGCACTGAATTTAGAGTGTTAATTAGGAATTTACTGGTCTGTTCAAAGCGTACTCTAATAGCTGTGAATAGATGAGTATTTGAAGAAATAAAAATACCTTGAACTTATGTAAAGTTATCGTGTAAAGTATGGTGATCAGAATATCGCATGCAATAGTTTACAAAGCAATTTCCATTTTATAAAATTATTATTTAGCGATAGTCTTTCGGAAATAGTGTTCCTTATGATTTGACATCAACTAGAGAATCATTGAAACTAGGCAGAGTTGGAAATGTGTTTTGTCAGTTGAGGGGAACTTCTCAACAATATTTATCCATGAAACACAAATCCAGTATATGAAGATGCAGTCATATAATTTACGTTTCTTACTTTAACAGACACTCATTTTTAATTCATAGACTTGATGCCTTGATCTTATCGATTGTGCAAAAACTTATAACCCTACTGTTTCTCTATATCTGCAGTTGTCATTCGTCATCGTTATCTTCTCCAGCTTATTACTTGGTGTCTAATTAAATTTAGTTAATAGAGTGTATGAATCGATTATTGTGTTAAAATGTACGACTATGAATAAAAATTATTTGTACTGTTGAAATCTTTTCAATACTTACTTACTTATCCCTGTTACCCCTCGTCGAGGAGCATAGGCCGCTCACCAGCATTCTCCATCCAACTCTGTATTGAGCCTTCATTTTCAGTTCTTTCCAGTTGTTAATCATCCTTTTCACATATGCTTCTATTTCTCGGCGTAATGTGTTCTTTGGCCTTCCACTTTTCCGCTTCCCTTCCGGATTCCAAGTTAGGGCTTGCTTCGTGATGCAGTTTAGTGATTTCCTTAATGTATGTCCGATCCACTTCCAACATCGTTTCCTAATTTCCTCATCAGCTGGAAGCTGGTTTATCCTCTCCCATAAAACGCTGTTGCCGATAGTATCCGGCCAATGGATGTTGAGTATTTTGCGTAGACAACTTTATAAATACTTGAAATCTTTTCAATAAGTAAACATATATTCTGAAAATAATTACAGAATTTATGCGCAGTGTTTACAAGCACATTCAAGTTGATATAGAAAAGAATGAAATTCATAAAACATAAAGTTAATTATTAGAGAAGACATGGTTTATAAATTGTTTTTGAAAGGATATTTAACACAGGTATTATAATAGTATGAACCAGTACTTTCTTTACATTAAGATTGGGATATTATATTTGAGAATGAATAGTGTAGACAAGGGTAATTTCATTATCCTTACTAGTCGCTCAAAAATAGAAAGCAGGAAATGAAATCAAAGAGCACCGAAAAAATAGTGGCAAAAATTATTGTGACAGATCTGTTGATATATACCTGCCTATTTATTTACGTATAAAGTAATACAGATAGACAATAGATTTAAAAGGATGCATTTTCATTTATTTACAATTTTAAATAATGAAAGGATCTTTAGTATCTAATGATGAATTTTACTTAACGAGTAAGTTGAAAACTGTAGTATCCATTTCGGATATTAATACTTTCGAATTCCTTGTTGAAAAAAAATCCACTGGATACTAATTTTCATCGACTAAATAACTGATTCATTTTAGTTAGACCAGTAGTGAAAGCCAGGAAACATTAAACAGTTGTTTCGTTCATGTGTGAAACTCCTCATGGCATTGAGGATCAATGACCTCCCCACCAGAGACGTAACTCAGGACCTTCGGTTTCACATATGAACTCGTAATCTCTAAACCACTGTGGTGAGGTTCAATAGTGTATATGTCTAACTTTAATGAAGTTACAATGTCCATTCATTTTAGTATTGTAAAAATTCCTGCTCTGGGATTTAGTAAAAAGATGAATAGAGTGAAGATATGTTCGTTTGTAGTTAGTTTTCTTATTACGGTTCTACACTTATATATATATATATATATACGTTTCATAATACTTATAACATATGCAAGTTGGGTGGAAATGTAATAGATAATGATCCAAATTCAAGTTTTTATAAAAATAATTATGGATGCGGTGGATAATGTAGATAGATAGTTAAATAAATCAATTCATAGATAGGTAATATGGTTTAATATTAGAGTTAATAAAATGCTTGACAGGTATTTCAATATAACTAACAGCTACCCAATAAAGAATCTGTATTTGTAGTTGTTGTATTAATGGTACAATGAATGGAATATTTGATGGATAGTTCAATGTTACTAATAATTGGAATATGTTGTTGAAAGATCAATAGTACTAGGACTAGATAAAATAAACATTAAAAAAAACTATGTAAAAACACCGAAATGAATGAAGATTTTAGAAAATCTGTTAGTGTAGATCTACTCACTTTTTTATGACCGATATCGACGATCAATATAAAGAGAGACAGGTTGGACGAAGTTCTTTTAAGTTTAAAGGTTAGACGTTTGTATTTTGATAGTATAATAAGAAGACGTCTTCTTATTACACTATCGAAATTTATCAAAGGGACTAATTGCTTTAAACTGTTGTATGTTAATTACAATGGCTACATCTATTTACTAAAAGAGGGATCTGTAAATGATCCAATAGATTTGATGTAATATATAATGGATAATTTTAAAAGCTTCATTCAAATCAACTTCATATCCTATGTCTGCTAGATGAACGAGATATAAAACTCTTATTTATTTTTGTTTAATATGTACATGTTCATAGTTAAAACCATGAGTCAATTGAAGCTAGACCTTTATGGAAAACCTGGAAGCACTGGACGGCCATTTCGTCCTATTATCGGACTCCTCAGCACACATTAACACCGTTGGATGCTAGCTCAGTGGTCTATCGGTTAAGGGCTTTGGCTGGAGACTGGTAGGTCCTGGGTTCGAATCTCACGAGTGCGGAATCGTGAATACGCACCGCTGAGGAGTCCCATAATAGAACGAAATGACCGTCCAGTGCTTCCAGGTTTTCCCTGGTAATCTAGCTTCAATTGATTCATGATTTCAACTATGAAAATATTGAAATTACCACAAAAACCCATTCTGATCTAATATGTATATGTTAATTCAGAGTTATGATATAAGTATTATTTCAATAGTTAAGGTCATGAGACCATGGAAACTAGACTCATGATCCATAAAACCCCTTCTGATAAAAAGTATTTATTGAAAGGGAACACACCCTCACTCTATTCAACCATCTATTTATTTATTTATTTATTCAAAATGATAATAAATTTCATTTTATCACTTCATTATTTTAGTGATATTCATATGATTTAAACAAAACAAGTAATTATGTTATAAATATACAATATACAACATACACATTTAGTAGTTCTTATTCATGTTGTAATTACATTTCTATATTGACAACAGTAGTATATTGTAACCAACACTGATATGAATAGTTTTGTTTTGCTATTTTTGTTTAGTATTAACAACAATGCATGTATTAGATTGAATTAGATAGAGTAGTTATTACACAGTGTACAGTACTTATCTATGCTTAGATTAGCATGGTACTTAGTTTAACTAACATATATTGCACATATTGCATAATATGTTTATTCACAAGGATGCACTATTCAGTAGTTTATTATCTTTTTTTATTTATTTTGTATGTTTGAAAAATGATTGTTTTTTTGTTCTTCTTTTACTGTTTTGTCTTTGTTGTTGTGATGAGTTTTGAACTGTTAGTGATTTTTAACTTGGTATTTTTGAACATAAACTGGTAACAAGGTTAGTCAAACTATATCGAACGTATAAATTAAGTTAATTAGCATAGGGTTTTGTACAGATGATCGAATTTCCATAGATTTCAAAAACTGATCTTAGTCAGATTATCATTGAAAAACTAGGAAAGATTGGATGGTCATCTTGTCCTAATATGGACTCCACGGCATTACTTACTTACTTAAGCCTGTTACTCCAAACGGATCATAAGCCACCGACCACCATTCTCCAACCCACTCTGTCCTGGGCCTTCCTTTCTAGTTCTATTCAACTTCTATTCATTCTTCTCATGTCTGTCTCTATTTCTCAGCGTGATGTGATCTTTGGTCTTCCTCTTCTCTTTTGGCCCTCAAGATTCCATGTGAGGGATTGTCTTGTGACGCAATCGGGTGATTTCCTCAAAATGTGCCCTATCCACTTCCAGCACTTCTTCTTGATTTCTTCCTCCATTGGAATCTGGTTTGTTGTCTCCCACAGTAACTTGTTGCTGATAGTGTCTACTCCACGGCATAACTGATTCAAAACCAGGCATCTGGAAATTGAGCTTATGAACTTCGGTCCTGGATGTGTAATGAGATAATTTAGTGATTTAAAATCTAATAGAATGGTATGATCTCCACAGAACCGTATGATGATAACAATCATATGGTTAAAAATGGCTAGCTTCTACAAGCAATTCTTGGGGTTCACTTGAAAAGCCGTGACAAATGAAGTTCAACTATAACAAGGGTGAAGAAGTTGCCCACTAAAGACAAGGGAAGATGGTTTTTTGATATCATCGGTTGATTGAAGTTAGACGTGTACACCATTGGATGTCAGATCAATGACCTAGAGGTTGAGCGCTCGTGCTTCATGTCGAAGGATCTGGGTTCGATCCTCAGATGAAGGGTCATGCATGCCTAGTGCCGGGGGGTTTTATACTAGAACGAAATGGCTTTTCAGCTCAACTAAATAATAATTTAGTTGGTCCATTTCCCTATCATCTCCGACGGTATTAGCTTCTGCTACCAGACTAGTGACCATCAACCCACAGAAAGCGAGGAGTCATTTGCTAAATTTAAGCTATTGAGTATTGAAAATTGCTCGATTTCTCAGACGTTTGATATTTACAAGAGTGTAAGAAAATTTCTTATCAGGAAAGTGAATCGAGGGAGATCAGAACCAAGAAGGACTTGATATACATGGCACTAGTCATTACTCAGTGATCGATGAATTGTATGGACATCTCAGTTTTACCAGACGTTGTTTACGTTCCAAATAGCTCAGTGTTAACATCTTTGACTGTGAAGGTGAGCAACACAGTGTCGAATCCACCAGGAATCGTCGGCTATCTTAGGAATACAGACACACTTTGCCGATGAATTCCAGAGAGTACGAAACCTGGATGAAGCAGGGTTTTTGTCAACTAGCTCGAAACCTCATCACCTTGCATCTCAACATAGTGCATAGAATTTCGAGTGATTAAAACCAGTGTCCCTCACTGTGACTTCATCCATAGAATTCAGTCAGCATTAAGAAGGACTTGGCATATATGACATTGAATACTACTTCTTGACCGATGAATTGTAACCTGACTCAATGGATTACAAATATTTAGTAAAGTGGGGTCAAGCTAAACTAAATAATTAATGCGATATTCCTCAGAGCATGAATGTTTGCTTAAAAGAAAGTAGAGTGACTTAATAAATGATGATTCTTTTTTGTCCTCTCAAAGAATATTCAAATACTACGTCTTTTCACCACCACTACTTCATACGTGAAATTGATATTTTTCTAAGGATCTGAAAACGAAAGTCACTATCTAATTTCACATTTTATTATTAGAACAAATAAACATTGATACAAGGAAGCACCAACTAGACATGCATTACATAAAATCATTCGATTTGTGTGAGGATTGCTTTACTGCTCGAGTGCCCAAACTAAAGCGGGATTTCACATTTTACACGACAATACTTACCATATTTTTCTATTTTTTTCGCCCATTTAAGATTAGAAAATAAATGTGAAATAAAGAATTTTCAATTTTCAGATTGTATTCTGACGAAAGTCTAAAATTTAATACAAAAAATAAAAGAAATATTTACCGGTAAATAAATAGTTCATTCCAAAATGTGGCATCAGTGCTTGAAGTCAATAACTTCTAGTCTGAGCCATGTTGGTAGCTGTAGACTACCTGGTTGGAGTCCGCGTGACTATCATAACCAATGGTGTTATACACTCTTTATCTTCCTTTAAACCTTGCGATTAAAATTGCTTCATATCTGTCTTTCTTCCTGTACTAAATCCTTATATACAACCTTTCTTTTATATATTATCACCACTAAATTAACTACTTCTATGAATCCGGTGTTCATCTTGTTGTGCTAATGAGGTATGGCAACTTGGACCGATGTATATGTATACCTGGTCCTAGGTTGTAGCTGACTGACTGAAATAGTTCATTAAATAGAGCCTCTTGTGTTTTTAAGCGAAATTCATTTATTCATATAGCTATAGATCATTTTTAGCTTATGTCAGTTCTTGATGAGAACCATAATTTTAAACCTCTAATCATGACGCTAAGTAATTAACTCTAACTAAGAACAATATGGAGAAATAAAAAAATTATTTGGATCATTCTAAGAGTTAGGTAAAATGGATGGTCTTTATCCATTTGAACGAATTTCTATTTTCTTTTGTATATTCAATTTACTGACAGAGTAATTTATACAACATATTAATTATGTAACATTTGATCATACTTTGGAATAGTATTGTTTTCTTTTTAACAAACTATTCATTTGCAAAACTCTTTTTTTTTATTGGTTGTAAACTATCTGAAAATTCGTCGAGGTTATTTTAAGTTCGTCCGTGTAATGTACTGTTGTAGCGAACAGAACACCGGTTGGAGACAATCGAATGTATTTAGACACAAATTACAGACTATCTCAATAAATTATGATAACCATACAGTAAATATGGTAAGCAGAGATGGATAGTGGCTAGCAGTGGAGTCCAGGACGCGCGTTTCGTCCTATTTGGGACTCGTCAGCTGGATGTACCTGCATCTCAGAGTTGATGTCCCAAATAGGACGAAACTCGCGTCCTCGATTACACTGCTAGCCACTATCCATCTCTGCTTACCATGCTTGTGAATTAAGGCTATATAGAGGTAATACGCACAGTATGCACATATGCCAATTAGAGACTGACCAGTTGCAGTCCTAACAAATCGATGGGAAGATTCAAACAAACAATACTGAATGAATTCATACAGTAAATAGTTAATTTGTAGACTATCAATCAATTGTCTCAATCTTAACTGTTCCTTCTGAAAAATATAAGTCCGTCTTCTCTGATTTCTTTGTTCATGCATTTTTGTATCGATTGCTCTTTATTCCTGTTCGTTCCTTATTGATCTTCTGCCAAAATACATTCTATGCCTGACCATCATCATATACTACTTATATGGATTTAAGTAAACCACACCACACTGTCACCCATATTTCATAGTGTACAAGTATATAGTAAATAAACATATTATATTTAGTTAGTAACAATTCATGAATATCACCACCACAACCATGTAATCATGTAGGTTTATCTTTATGCTAAGTGTTATTTTAATCATTTACACATAAATCAAATTTAAATTCAAATTCAATGCTTATGCTTATACATAATACATAAATATTATAATCTATAGTGTTTCAATGATCAACATATGTAGATCAGGTTAGGTAATCATATGAAATGCATCATACACATATATAATTTTCTTGACAGGTTTCTTTGTTTTTTTTTTTGGTTTTTTTTCCATTTCAATCTTACAGTTACTATGATCTCGATCTATTATTATAATTATTATTTGTTTTTCATATGTCATTATATAATATTAACATATTTGATAAATGATCGTTGGGTTATAATGGTAAACTAGAGTTATGACACTAGTTTGCATTAATTTATTTGATCATGAAAACAAAAAAAAATAATTAACATTATGGTACTTATTGTTTACATTGAGTTTAAATTACATACATATTAATAAGGATGGGGTTTTGTTTTCTATGCTCAGCGAACAGCTCAGACAATAAAACTTTATCAAAATCATCCATCTGAGTTACAAATCTTCAACATCATCTCAAAAGGATGAAGTTTAGTTCATTCTTGTTTTTTTTTTGATGTTTTAATGATATGATGATAATATTCATTTGGGAAATGTAATGAATCGGAGAAGAAATCTCCATGACCAAACCATCCAGCTCAGAGAACAAAACTCTATCAAAGTCATCTATCTGGTCTACAAATCTTCTCCATCATCTCAAAAGGATGAAGTTTAGTTTATTCTTGTTTTTTGATGTTTTCATGAGATGAGAATGATGATAATAATATTCGTCTGAGAAATGTAATGAATTGAAAAAGAAAACACCATGACCAAACCATCCAGCACAGGGAACAAAACTACATCAAAACCATCCACCTGAGCTACAAATCTTCCCCGTCATTTCAAAAAACTAACATTTCGAATTATTTGATCACATAAATAGTTGACATGACATTTATACATCAAAGCTGATAGAATATTACTTACTTAATTACGCCTGTTACCCCTCGTCGAGGAGCATGGGCCGCTCACCAGCATTCTCCATCCAACTCTGTCCTGAGCTTTCATTTTCAGTTCTTTCCAGTTGTTAGTCATCCTTTTCACATATGCTTCTATTTCTCGGCGTAATGTGTTCTTTGGCCTTCCACTTTTCCGCTTCCCTTCCGGATTCCAAGTTAGGGCTTGCTTCGTGATGCAGTTTAGTGATTTCCTTAATGTATGTCCGATCCACTTCCAACATCGTTTCCTAATTTCCTCATCAGCTGGAAGCTGGTTTATCCTCTCCCATAAAACGCTGTTGCCGATAGTATCCGGCCAATGGATGTTGAGTATTTTGCGTAGACAACTGTTTATAAATACTTGTACCTTCCTGATGATGGTCGTAGTAGTTCTCCACGTTTCAGCTCCATACAGTAGGACTGTCTTGACGTTCGTATTAAAGATCCTGACCTTGAAATTGGTTGAGAGTTGTTTTGAGTTCCATATGTTCTCCAATTTTACAATTGAAGAAAAGAATATACTTGAATATTTTTACTTCATTTATAATTTGATAAAATTCTGATATAACCACTAGTTACATCTTGGAAATATAATGGGTTATTTGTCTTCTATATTAACTGAAAACAATTCCATGTAGGGTAGAAGGTAAGACTAGAAACGTAAAATTTATTAGACTTACTTACTTACGTCTGTTACCCCTCGTGGAGGAGCCAAGAAAAACAGGAATTACCAAAAGAAGTAATTAATGGCTTAAAATTATATCAGAATTATACTGAATATTGCATAATTCATTTAAATGATCAATCGTGAAGATCAAGTACATTGATCTAGGCGGTAATTGACATAAATTAATCAATAATTTAACACATGAACACGGTTTATAATGTCAATAGATTAAATTCTTCTGACTAAAAAATATAAATAAATTACTTAGTAGTTGTTTATTTCTAATTAAATAATAAACTAAGAATTGAGTTCATGAGTCAATTGAAGCTAGATCACCATGGAAAACCGTCAGGGTCTGTTGTGATATAGTAACTCACTGGAGACCATGTGGACGGTGGATCAATTTCGTGGATTGGTTTGAGTTGGACAATAATACCTTTGAATGCCTGCTCAGAAATCTAGAGGTTAAGCGTTCGCGTGCGAGATTGATAATTTCTGGGTTCGAAAATCGCGGGGTGGGACCGTGGATGTGCACTGCTGAGTAGTTCGACACTAGTAAGAAACGGCCGTCTAGTGCTTTCAGGTTTTCCATTGTGGCATAGCTTCAATTGACTCATGATTTCAACTATGAAAATACTGAAATCTTCACAAAATCCCTTTCTGATATAGTTCGCTCTATGCTTTACAGTTTCCTAATTCATTTTCTAGAGGTTAATTACGTAGAAATACTAATTCTTAGTGGATGATTCTATTCCTCTTAAACAGCGGTATATATGTCCACATCATAAGTTTGTAAAATAACTTCGCTAATAGTTGTCTTAAAAAACTGTAATATTGTACAGTAATAAAAAAGTGAAACGTATTTTGAGTATGTAAATTGCACATAGAGAAATAAAGACGTTATTGGTATATTCAAGAGATTTGCTTATATAGAATGAAGCCGATCAAAAATACATGAGAAATTCGATAACAGAAACCATTCTACAGTAGACTTTCAAGGTTACAGGCTAACAAATGCGGAGCTTTCTTTAGGAGAGATAATTACGGTAAACTTTAGTCGAACCCTTCAATGAACAGTATATGCACATGTTAGTTGGTTGGTGGTTGTCACTAGGAGACCGTAATTGACTTTGGTCGTCACTCATCAACAAAGCATGCGGACTGATGTTTCTTATAGGATTCTAGCCTGCTTCACATAGTCTCACAGTCTGAAACCTTGCCATTGAGCTATTCGGGTTATAGCTGATATCTTATAAGAATAAGGTACTTACGAATGATTGATCACTGAATAGTGACTAACGTCGCAAATGACAAGCCCTTTAAGTGTTGACTACATTTTAAAGCTCAACTAGTTTCCATCAATTTACATTAAAACTTTATACATGCAATGTCGAATCACTTATAATCGTAGCCACATTTTGATTTTGATACACAGAATTCAATTAACATCTAGAGAACTAGATAAACATGAAATTTGGTCACTGCTCAATTGTCAGTTAGTTACATATATATGTATATTATTGAGAAAATCAAATAGATTTAAATACCATGACATCTATATATCTGTATAATAACACGGAATTAGTTATTTGAAGTAGAAGTTTGTGGTTTTTCTCCCAATTGAACAGTATTATAAAGTACTATTTCTCTTTAAGTGAGATTATATTGTGTTTCCACAGACTGAATATCACTTGACTCAACATATATTTATCAATGGATTATTACATGATAAGTATAACTTATTAAGACAGTGGAGGACAATTTTTAAATTCATTTTGCATTGTTTATTTGAGTCTTCTGGTTGATATTTAAGACTGTAATTGACTAGTCTTAGAGTGAACATTAACTCTGAGATGCAGGTACATCCAGTCAAGGAGTCCCGAAAATAGGACAAAACGCACATCTTGGATTATACTATTAGCCATCATCCATCTTTACTTATGAAGATAATTTTTGTTTGTTTCATTTCTTATCGATTATTTGGTTGACAATTTTTTCTAATATAAGCAGTGATATCACAATTGATTGATCACTGGATGGTGATCAATGTCATGCGTGTCAAGTCCTTCTTAGTGTTGATCGAATGCTATCGATCAAGTTGCAATGTGGCCACTAGTCTAGGTAGCTCGACAGTGATATTCATGTCTGTGTACACTTCTTTAGTTGAATACATATTTTGTACTTATTGAGAAATATATGAAGAAGAAACAGGGTGTCATCATATAATAACAAGAATTTAATTTATTGGGTAAATGGTTCACTTAAAATAAAAAAGTTAATAAATTCGCCTTTGAATTTCAACTATATCCTATTCCCTTATTTTTATGCATAAATGCGAGTATACTATCGTTTTTTGTATTTTGAAACTTGGCTTTGGGCGTCAACCCGTAGTGATGAAACAATGTAATTCAGACGAACTTTGTTAAGTATTCAGTTGATATATATATGTATATATATCAGACTAAGTCAATATTTACTCATTTATCATATAGCAGAAATGTTATAGTGCCCGTTTTTTTTTTCATTATGGCCCTGCCCATTTGATGACCTGAAAAAATAACTAAAATTATTGATTAAATGTATTTTGATATATTGCATCGAGTCAACTGTTTAATTTTGAATTGATAGTTGACTACAAATTAGATAATGAGAAGTACACTTTGAGTAAGATATGGTTCCATTTTAAAACACTTGAGATGTATTCGTTTGGGTTTTTTAATATACCCTACAATGGAATCTTTATATTGTAGTAATATTACGAGGAATGATCAAGTTCAATAACTCAGTCGTATGGATGATTATTTTTCGTTGATTAGTTGAATGTGTTTTAATCAGAGTATTCACGCAGTTACATAACTTTTTATAATCGTAAAATGTAGTTTTTAGTGTGTTAATATAAATTCAGAAGGGGTTTTGTGGAGATTTAGTATTTTCATAGTTGAAAGCGTGAGTCAATTAAAGCTAGACCACTATGGAAAACCTGGAAGCCCTGGACGGCCGTTTCCTCCTATTATTGGACTTCTCAGCAGTGCGCATCCACGATCCCGCACTCGCGAGATTCGAACCCAGGACCTACCAGTGTCGCGCCAGAGCACTTAATCGACAGACCACTGAGCCTGCCGGCATCCAACGGTGTTAATGTAATATAAATTCTCCGACCTTTGAAATCATAACGTTATTCTCAACTTAATTATTTTCTATAACCATTTTATTACTTTATATTATTGTTAGTTAAGGTTTATCAACAAATAACACATTAGACGTGTGAAGCGATGGGTAATGGGTTCGAGTCCCAATATAAGTAATAACATTTGAATCTAGGCACATTCTAATAATGAGTTCAGAATAAGATGAAATGTGCTTCTTCAATTTAGCCACTAGTTATAATCCAACATTAGTTAAATAACGTATGGTTTGTTAATACCTTTATCAAGTGACTGATTTTACGTTAGTAGACTGTCATTTATGGTACAGAATGCTTTGTCATCAGAATGGTGACTTAATTCTGGAATTCATCCTAATCTATACGAAGAAATTAATTGCATCTACTTAGATTGCATGATTTTATTCATTCAATATATAGATATTATCACATGATGTATGCATATCAATCACTTGTGAATACCCGTTAAAAAGCTCAGTAATAATATTTTGTTTATGAAATGGAAACACAGAATAAATCGTAGTGAAAACATTGATTGCTTCATGTATATAAAGTTCATTGAACAGTTTATGATTTTCATTATTTCAGATCCCAAAGTGAAGTTCGCAATGATGCAACAAAACTTCTTTTGGATCCCACTGATACATATCCGACAAGATCATTAACTATTCAATCAGAACGTAGTTCTGAACAAATTCCATCTATTAGTTGGTCAGTTCATCCAACATCTCCTTTATTATCAAAATCACCAACGGGAACTTTATCACATGAAAATATGGATGGAAATGCTGGATTTTTTATGGTTGAAGTTAAATTATTAAGTGATGAAGAAGTTCCATTACAGATGGAAGTTACAGTAAGTTTAGAGTTAACTGAACTTTTGATTTGAAATGACCGATATTTGTCGATGAATACACTAACGTACTAAGCTGTTCAGTGGGGGAAAACGTATACTGTTGAATATGGATAAAATTAGCCAAAACTTTTATAAACATTTATAAGCTAGGACACTATTTTTCCCAATACAATGTATATTCAATAGATTGGTTTGTGAAATGTGATTGATAATGAAGCATAAATGAAGAAAAAACACATTAGTTCTAAACAATCATGAATTCATTAGGTATGAGAATTTGTGGAAATTTTAGTATCCTAACAGTTGAACTCTGAGTGGACCTAGGCGTTCGTGTGAGAAACCGAAGATCCTGGGTTCGAGTCCCACGTGCGGAATCATGAATGTGCAGTGAGTCTCATACTAGAACTAAACGGCCGTCCAGTGCTTCAAAGTTTTCAATGGTGGTCTGACTTAGATCGATTCATTAATTCAACTGTTAAAATTCACTAGTTGTTTCGTTGATTTATTTTCAGCTTAATATATAACCTAATAGACTTAGCGATTTTGAATGATCACTTTCATAATTTGGAATTTGAGCAAAAGATTGCCAAGTTTTCATAAATTAAATCACTAACTGATCACAGTTAGACCATTATTGAAAACATAGAAGGAAAGGATGACCGTTTTGTTTTAGTGTAGAACTTATCAAGAGTGCGTATCAACAACCTCAGATCAGAGAGTCAAACTTAGGACCTTCTGTCGAGATTTAAACAAATTGGGTTGTGTAAAAATAAAAATAATTAAGTTTAAGATGTAAATTTGAATAAAAATTAAATTTTTTTTTTCAAGTAGGTTCCTTTTTTGTAGATACATGGAGTGATACGTTTTGAATATTTGAAGGTGATTTCCGTTGTTTAATATAAAAACAATCTAGGGGATTTAAAGGAAAAGGATAAGTAAAGAGAATCCACTAGATTGTCATTTTAATTAACTAAAGAATAAAAATTGAGTAGCGAGGTCAAAATGTTTTAGTTACTAATGCCTATAAAGGTTAACCATTAACTTCTTTTGTATAAAAAGATCAAGTTCAAGTCTTGTAATTGTTTTCACTTTCGAAAATGTTGATATGGTACGATAGAATTATTTGTTGATTATTTTGAATGAATTCATTACATTCAATTTGTTTCTTGTCAATTAGATGTTACACTATCAAAATGCGAAGAGCATTTTGTACTCAAATTAATAGGTTTTTTTGGAATATATTCAAAAAAACCTCCAGATACCTGTCTCTTTATTCTTTCAATGTAATATGCTTTGGCAAGTAATATTAAGATCGATATGATGATTTGGAAGTGACAAGTGATATGCATTTGCCTACCTTTGTTTGCCTGAGATGTTTATTAACATCTTAAAGGCTCTGTATACAAACACCTCAAGTAGAGTGAGGATATACAACCACATTTCTCCATTGTTCCATTCAAGCAGTTGGGTAAGCAGGGTTGCATAATCTCACCATTGCTCTTCAACTTTGCCATCGACGACATTCTGGAAACAACTCTGATGGACGTAAGTAATGGCGGTAAGAATCTGTTGCCTGAAGAAAGACTTCTCCACCTTGAGTATGCGGATGTTATTGTCTTACTGTGCGATAATGCCCAAGGCATGCAATTCGCACTTAATCAGTTGACAATCAATGTCCGCAAGTACGGTTTGTGCTTTGCACCTTCAAAGTAAAAAGTACTCCTACAAGACTGGCGGGATTCTATTCCTGTACTCACCCTAGATGGTGAGCAGATTGAAGTAGTTGAGAAGTTCGTGTATCTAGGTAGCTACATAAGTGCTGGTGGTGGCGTGAGTGATGTGATCAATGCACGTATAATGAAAGCCAGAGCGGCTTATGCCAATCTGGGCCATATTTGGCGCCTTCGTGATGTTAGTCTGGCCATAAAGGGTCGGATCTACAATGCGTCGGTGAGAGCAGTTTTGCTCTATGCTTGTGAAACTTGGTCTCTCCGAGTTGAGGATGTTAGACGACTCTCTGTGTTCGATCATCGTTGTCTCCGAAGGATTGCTGACATTCAATGGCAACACCATGTTAGTAATGCAGAGGTTCGGCATCGTGTGTTCGGGTGCAGAGACGATAATTCAATTGGTGTCACCATCTTGAAACACCGACTTCGATGACTTGGACATGTTCTACGAATGTCGTCCCAGAGAATTCCACGTCGTGCGTTATTTGACGACTCTGAGACTGGTTGGAAAAAGCGGAGAGGTGGTCAGTGTATGACGTGGTGTCGTGGTATGGGAGAAAGCTACAAAGGACTGGCTTCTGTTGATCCTTCACGACTCCCTGGCTGGGGTCCGATAGATAGTGCAACACAGTGGCTAGTGACTTTATCAGATATGTCTCAGAATAAAAGACAGTGGCGATCCTGATGTAACTTTCTTTTACTTTCTGCACAAAGGGTGGTCATAACCTCCTTAACTGAGACAGTTATTCTGGTTGTACATTTTAGTTCCCTTCACCATTACTTTTTTTATGCATCTTACCCCTCTCTCTTCTCATTTTTCTTGTTTTGTGTGGCACATATATATCTGGCGCCCCTTTGAACCAATATTTATGTGTTTAAATAAATAAATATCTTTGTTTATGTTATTAAACATGGTGTTGTTTACAGTAGAAACAATTTTAAAGCTAGAAATTTACTCTTTAAAGCTAATTTTAGTCTCATATTATTAAACATATGATTTTGGTCACTTTGAACTATCAGCTGGATAAACATGAAGTGATTAATGATGAAAAACGCCCGTAGAAGGATAAAATGTAAGGTATCTTTTTATCCATATTTCCGGTTTTGAATGTGAATAAATAATTGTAAGAAACCATGTGAGCTTAACCATTATTTTCTTAGTGTTCAATAAAAGTGGAATTCCAAGCATTTTAACATTCATTTAATTGGTAAGGGTTACATATGAGAGTGTAACTTTTATTTGAGATTTTATTTCAATTATTTAAATCTACCTACATATGTCTTCTATGCAGAGATCACTATATCACAAATAACGGGGAAAACTATAGCTTAAAATCACGTTTGAATTAAAAGTTATGCTCTTATATGCATTATCCACTCAATAAGTGAAGGAAAAAAGAAGTTAGATATTGCACTACTATTGAACATTGAAGAACGGATACGCTAGAACTTTACAAACAATTATAAATATATCATATCAACATCTTTAATTAGCTTATAGCAGTTCATTCGACTTGCACTCACACTCGCTTGTTTTACGGCACTACTCTTTCATGCTTGCTTACAGTGCCTGTAATCTTGGATATCTGTGCGTGATTCAATAATAAACACAATCAACACTTCTTATTCATCTTCTGATTTATACACCATTGAGTCGTTATCGAGTAACGGTTATCCAAACGAACATTATACAAAGTTTAAGGATAATATCGAATACCGACCACCACAAGCTATATATCATAAAAGTCTCATTCTAAAGTAATAAAAAAAACAGACAAATATAGTATCTAGTTCAGTTTTATTATACTGATTAAGTCTTTCTTAATTTAATTATCAATCATCTATCTAAAGTAACTGTTAAACTAAGGACATTATTGTTTGTAAATGTTATTAAAAATAAAAGATTGACCTGAATATGCTGCCTTTTAATCCAGATGAAGAAAATAATCAGAAAATGATTATTCAGTTGTGAAATATTGTACCTAATGAAAAAGAAATCTTTTTATTGTCAACTGTATACCATCATTATTAATAAGGGTTTGAGTTATCCTGTAGTTAATGTTTAAAAGTGAATTCTGATCTATTATAGATTGTCTCGATACAGCCATAGTGTCACAAAGTGTTTAGGGTTGTAACTATCTGGTTTCAGTAGAACAGCATATTACGTGTTGTGTATTTGAAGGGTGTTATAACTTGTGCTACCTGGATGCCATGTTAATGTATAACGTGATAATACTGCCAATCAGAGAGCAATGATTTATCGATCGGACCAATGACACACGAAACCTCCCGTACGAGCCGTCTAGAGTACTAATCGATCCTGTTTTCTGCTAGCCCAGTCAGTTAAGTCCAGAACACCAATCTCAGCCTCTGCGGTATTAATCACTTATTTCAAGCATACTGGGTTTACATAACAAACAGACATACCACATTGTACCATAAAATAGGAAACAAGATTTGTACAACACTTAGCCAAATGTCGCTGTGATAGATGGGGCATAATTCAAGAATGGTAAATCGTATAACAAAAGTTCATAAGTCAAAATAAAGCTTTTAATAAGAGAGGCATGAATTAGAATAGTTTAAATATTTAACAATTATACAATAAAAATATATGCATAGTATTGGTTCATAAATAGATCCCAAAGTTACCATTCACTATTCTTATCGGGACATAGCAAAGCGGAAGATAATCGGTCCGAGTAATAATAAGAGTATCAGCACAGGGATGCAAGCACCTCCTGATGCGTACAAGTTTGTTTGGAGTTTAGTAAATAAACATATGATTGAGTAAAGTTCAATCCTCCATACAATTTAAGAGGAAATTTCTGTATTTATGTCCAACCTAATTCCATTCTTGTATATTTATTTCATTCCATTGGTTATTATAGCTCATACGATAGTACGTCAGACAACATCAGTTCCCTCAAGATAAAAGGTATGCCTCAATGTGACGAGTGTAAACTAGGATAAAACCTAGGTCAAGCATAGTTTTCTATCAACTACCTCTAGCCATTTAACATCAAACATAGTCCATGTGATGCTGAGTCATTTAGATCAATGCTATACTGGAACTCAGTCGACAGAATTCAACCATCATTAAAAGACTAGATAGATATAACATTGGTCATCACCAATCAGTCTTGAGTCATGTATACGGTCTGAAAGTATTCAAATGTTTCTATGGATCCAAGACTTGCTATTTTCAATTTCATGATTTGTAGAAAACTATATTTGAAATGATCTTAGCAAGTGAAATTTAAATAATTC